ATGCTGCTTGGCCTGCTGTGTTCATCCAGCCCTGCACCTTGTTGTCTTGGATTCTCCAGCATCTGCAGTTCCTACTATCTCTTAAATGGGAGACTGTTTACTTTCAAACAGTGTGCCCTGGTTCTAGATTCCTCCACCATGTGACAATCCTCTACACTGACAAACCCCTTCAGAATCTTTCTTTTTGTTTCAGTAGATCCCCTTTCGTTCTTCTAATGTCCAATTCACATAGGCCAACCTGTGCAAGGATTTTTCAGAAGTCAAACCCCACCTCCCAGAAATCAGCTGAGTGAACCTGCTCTGAACTGCTTCCAATGCAAGTCTATCCCGCCTTAAGTAAAGTAACCAAAACCAATCATAATGCACTGTGTCTGATCTCACACCTATACAACTTTATCAATATCTCCACATGGTTATATTCCATTACCTTTGCAGTAAAGACTGATATGACATTTTATACTGTTATATTCCCTTTTATGATTCATGTACAATGATAGCTAGTTCCCTATATGCAACAGCCTGCCATGTTTTTGCCCACACACTTCACCAATCTATGTCCCTTTGTAAACTGCTTATACTCTCATTGCAACTTGCTTCTTCCCTAACTTTGTATAATCAGCAAATTTGGCTTTAATATAATCTGCCTTTTCATTCAAGACATTAATGTTGATTGTAAATATTGAGGTCACAACACTGATCCCTGTGGCACCCCATTAGTTACAGTTTGCTATCCTGAAAATGACCCATTTATCCTGATTTCTGTTCCTGTTACTTGGTTTATCTATTCATGCCAATGTATCAGCAGGATCACCTATCTTCTGCATAATATGTGATGCGGTACCTTATTGAATGCCTCTTGTAAATACAAGTACACTACATTGACTGGCTCCCCTTTCTCCACCCAACTTGTCACATCCTCAAAGAGTTCGAATGAATTCTCCTTTTACAAAACCACATTGACTCTGCCTGCTTTTATTATCTAAATGTCCTGCTATCACCTGCTTAATAATGGCTTCTAGCATTTCTCCATTAACAGATGGTCAGGCTGACTGGTTTATAGTTTCCTGCTTTCAGTTTCCTTCATTTTTTGAATATGTGACATTTGCAGTTTTTCAGTCCATGGAATATTTCCAGAATCTTGGGGATTTTGGAAGATCACAACCATTGCATATATTATCTCTGCAGACCTTTCTTTTCAGACACTAAAATGCAGGGCATCAGCTCCAAAGACTAATTGACCTTTAGTTTCAGATTTCTTTTTATTGTTAATGATTGTTTTAAGTTCCTCCCTCACTTTTGCCTTTTGATTTTATCATATTCCTGGGATGTGTTCCCTTCTGTGAGGACAAATACAAAATACTTGCTCAATGTCTCTGCCATTTCTGATTATTAATTCCCCAGTCACACTTTCCAAAGAATTTATGTTTTCTTTAATTATTCTTTGTAAACTCTGAAGCGCAGTTTTTACTAGCTATTTAATACTTCAGCCAGTTTTCCTTTATGTAATCATACATTTCTGGTTTCTGAAAATTTTCTAATCTTCTGGTCTACCGCTAATATTTCAAGCATTGTACGACTTGTCGCCATCCTTAACTTTCTTACTGATCATAAACGTTGCTTCTTTACCATTGAGTTCTTTTTCAGTTTATCAGGGCTAATGAATATGTCCCCACATTTTCACATCAAAAGGATTTACTTAAACTATCAACATTTGTATCTTTTCGCCAAACTATCAAGACTGATGTATCTACCCCTAGACAGCCAAAGCTGGTGTATTCATCCCCAGATTATCAGGGCAAGTTTATGTATGTACCCCCCAAGCATTAGGGCTGGTGTATTTACCTGTAAATAATCTGAGCTGGTGTATTTATCTCTAGACAGTCCAGGGGTAAATACACCAGCCCTAATATCTGGGGGTAAATACATCAGCCCTAATTCCTGGGGGTAAATACACCAG